AATCTTCAAAATTATACCACTTTTAGAATTATCAAATTCATAATCGTCATCAGCGCCATCATCACCATCTATACCATCGTCATCATTATCATCATCACCACCATCATCATCTATACCATCGTTATCATCATCATCACCATCATCACATTTATCATTATCATCATCGTCATAGCCCTTTTTCATGTACCGTTGGCAACATTTATCATCGTCATCATCATTGTCATCATCATCGTCTTCATCTCCATCACACGCACTCACTTTCATTTTTAGTAATAATAATAGTAATAATAGTAATAATAATAAAATAATAACAATAATCATAATAATCATAATATTAATAATAAAACACTAAAATAATAATCAAAGTCAGCCCAACATTCATCAAGTCTTAGAAACTTTTGTCTTTACATTTCACTAAACCATTCCTACACACACAAACGCACACATACATTCACACACACAAACACACATACAAACACATACACACGCACATACATACATACACACACAAACACACATACAAACACATACACATGTATGTATACATAAAAGGACACATACATGTATACAAAAGTTTTTAAAACAAATTTTCTTCGCCTCGTTCGTTACATTTTCGCTACTTTTTTTTATTACGTTCACACGATCCATTATTATTATTATTTTTTTATTATTATTATTTTATTATTATTATTATTATTAGTAGTAGTAGTAGTTGTTGTAACAGCAGCAAGCAGTCAGCAGCAGCAGTAGTAGTAATAGTATTTAACAATAGTGCATTCAAATTCATTGTAGTATTTTTTTAGGTGCGTGAACTTTCAAGTTTTTCTTCGCATTCGAAACCAGTCACTGCGAATCTGAAGAGAGGCATCTTACGGCTAGGCCACTTGTTGCTGTCCAAATTCAGGCTCACCACTGGCGAGTTGGGTTCTTAAGTCCTCGAGGTTTGTTAGTTAGTAAAGTTGCTAATCGAACCAATCCCACGTGTGTTGTCTGTGTGTGCGTGCGCGCGCGTGTGTGTGTGGTGTGTGGCGAATTGACACACACTTTCATGTGTCAGTGTAAAGGCGTAATGTTTCAAATGTTTAGATTTATGCATGTGTGTTTGTTTAATAAATCAGCAGGATGCGTTTTATTAAGCGTTGTTGTTCTACCCTTACTTTCAAGTTTATGGTTTCATTTGTTTGTTTGCCTGCTTGCTTCTTTCTTTCTATCCTACCCTCCATCCTTCATTCATTTATTCATTCGTTCATTCGTTCAATCATTCGTTCATTCATTCATTCGTTCATTCATTCACTCATTCATTTATAATAACAATAAGATATATGTAGAGAAATAGAGAGAGAAAGAGGAAGAGAGAGAGAGAGAGAAGGAGAGACATGCTGGAACATTAATCATTGAGTGACAACAGAAAATTCATTCGCCATATTTTTTTGCAATAAAATAAATAAAAAAATTATTTCAATAAAATTATTCCACATAATCTATATATGTACCTTTGTATGTATGTGTTGCGTGTGTATGTGTGTGTGTTTATATGTGTTGTGTGTGTTTGAGTGTTTGTGTGTGTGCGTATGTGTTGTGTGTGTGTGTTGAATTGCGTGTGTGTGTGCGCGTGTGTATATCATACATGTATTATTAAGTATATATATATATATATATATATATATATATATATATATATATATATATATATGTTATATTATGAGTTTCTAACCAGTCACATATCAAAATAGCATCAGATGTAGATGAATTTCAAACATGCATAAGCATTAGCAAGAAAGACCCCAAACATTTGCTTACAAAATCGCTTAAAATACGTTCATACATACCACACATACATACCACACATACATACTATACATACATACATACAATACACAGACATACATACAATACACAGACATACTTACAAACCACACATGCGTATAAACAAGCAGACAAACACGTACAAACAAACAAACACGTACAAACAGACAAAAACGTACAAACAGACAAACACGTACAAACAAACAAACACATACAGAAACATAAATTATACCATCTGATCACCGGTGCATCAGTTAATATATTAGTCGAACCATCTCTATGTATAATACATCTTCTTGGGCATTCTAAATTCTATCTCTGCATTTATCGATCGAACGTTCAATCGCATCCACAGATAATTTTGTCTGTCTGACTGACTGTCTCTATGTCTGTTTCTCAGTATGTGTGTGTTTTTCTGTCTGTCTGAATGTGTGTATTTGTGCGTGTGTGCGTGTATGTATGTCTGTGTGTGTGGGTGTGTGTGCGCGTGTGTGTAACTATGTGTAGATATATTCTTTTATTTCAGAATATTGTGTAAACGAATGCCTCAGATTACATTTTCATTCTGGAGTATTTATTTTATTTTTGTTTTCGCTCTTCAAATTTTAAAATTCTCCCAAAAAGAAGATTATTTTTTAGAAACAACTTTTAACACTACTCGCACCTATGCGGGTACACACATACGTATACACACACATATATATTATGTGTGGTTGTGTGTGTGTGTGTATATGTGTGTGTGCGCGCGCGCGTCTAAGGGTATAGTATACTTTAAAATAAGATATTTTTTTCAAAAAAGAATATATTTTTAGTTGCCAAAAATTAACTTAGTAATTTATTTGAAGTTTTAAAAGGCGTGGCCCCTACGATCATACACACAAACACAGACACACACACACACGTATACACACAGATACACATACATACATACACACACAGGTACAAACATTCACACACGCACACACACACGTAGATCGACACACTTTCTGCCTGCTATTTCAGAAGTCTAAATTAATTAATTTATGCAGTCTCATTAGGCGTTCCATTTTTAATTATATATTATTATAATAATTATTATTTATATTAATTGTTATTGCTATTATTATATACAGAAACACATGCATCTTCTGTCATTGGACTATCTCAACTTTTCCATCCATTAAGCAAACTCAGTGAACCAAACTGGCTTAATATCAACGTAAAATATACATTTTCTACAAGCACACACATACACATATTTGCACGTACAAACATACACACACACACACATATATATATACATACATATATACAAGCATTCATACATACATACAAACATACACACACACAATTTTATATTATACAAAAGTCACAAACGTGTTCATTCAAATATCTATAACGAAAACTCCCAATCCGAATTATGGATACCTCATGTGTGCACATAGTAAAAAATATGTGTGTGTGTGTGTGTATGTGCATGTGTGCGGTATGTGTGTGTATGTGTGCATGTGTGTGTGTGTGTAAAATATGGATACACAACTTACAATATCAAATTGGCTATCTCTTTTTATTCATCTGCCCTTTAAATCATACTCTGGTTTATACTGTTGGGGATTTTATACATATCTAGTCGAAGGACATATCTGTGTATTACACACACACAAACCAAATACCATACCAAACAAACACACACACACACACACACACATTCGAATGCACAAGCAGATGACACTGTCACCGAATGAACGAACGAACGAATGAATGAGTCAGTGAGTGAATGAGTGAGTGAGTGAGTGAGTGAGTGAGTGAGTGAGTGAGTGAGTGAGTGAGTGAGTGAGTGAGTGAATAAATAAACAAACGAAATGATGATGAGTAAACAAATGAGTGAGCGAGGCTTTTGATAGAGATGAATGGAAAAGATTGCATATATTTCTCGCTTATGATCAGCATGATTAATTGCACGAATATACACACAACACAGCTTGCTTCATGTTTCTAATTTGAAGGCATGCATCCACCGCCATTTGCATTGTTATGTTTTCAATTTGTCTTGCGAGAGATCACTTGTAAGATTTTAAATTTTTGAAGTTTTGACAAAATTTCGTTCAAAAGCGTTTTTTGAAGAGATTTTATTTCAGTATAGCTTTATAGTTTTTTTTTAGTTCAGAGTGAAAAGTGTTTTGAGGAGATTTTTTCATTTTTTCCAGGAAGAAGAACAAAAGATAGTGCATCCTGTCTAACCGTTTGACATCTAAAGAGTGTTAAAAGACTTTGAGATATAAATTTTAAAGAAGTAACTCCTTTGACCGTCTCTCTCTTCCTCTCCCCTCCCCCCTCTTTCTCTCTCTCTCTCTCTCTCTCTCTCTCTCTCTCTTTCTCTCTCTTTCTCTCTCTCTCTCACACACACAAAATTTACTCCAAGATGTCCTGCTTGCATATGATGAAAAAAATTTTTTTTAAATATACAAACACAAAATATTTCTAAAATAAAATACACTAGAATAATAGTTTCAATAGAAGAGTTTGTATCTTTAATTTCTTCTCAATACAAAAATACACTACACAGATGCGCACCACACAGATGCACACCACACAGATACACACCACACAGATGCGCACCACACAGATACACACCACACAGATACACACCACACAGATACACACAACACAGATGCGCACCACACAGATGCGCACCACACAGATGCGTACCACACAGATACACACCACACAGATACACACCACATAGATGCGCACCACACAGATACACACCACACAGATACACACCACACAGATACCACACAGATACGCCTCATGCCTGCCATTCAAAAACACGAAAATATTGAAATGTGCACTATTAAGCAGATAAAACAAGATCTATGTATGATCATGTTTACGATGATGTCGGGAGTTTTACGATGGTTTACGAGCGGTTCCGTGTGGCAAAATCGATAAAAATGTGTTTCTGTTTCGGTGTGGTTGTTGTTTATAAAGTATGCCATGAATAAATTATGATAAATAGACGGATACTCTTGAGTTAACTTTAAAAATGTTTGTTAAAATATTTGTCAGACTAAATTTCTGGGGGGGAATGCCTTGGTTGCTTTAGGGGCATTACTAATGGTGGGTTTAGTTTAAATTGTCTAAAATTAAACTCATTTCCTGACAGAATCCTGGGCTTTAGAAGGGTCCCCCCTGCGGCTGGAAGAACCATCGACATGATCAACCAACTCCAGGTTCATCTGTCACCGCATTCTAGGAAGAAATTTTACCTCTCGCCCAGTGAGATTCTAACTGTTTGTTTGATTTCATTAAAACCGTCGTAGGTTACCTCACATTAAAACATCTCAAAATTACTTCATGTACTACTTCGTGATAAAATGATTGACAAACAACAACAACGAACGAACAGTCGGCAATCAATGTTTCTTCGGCAAGTGCCTTTACCTCTGTGACCCTGCCCATGCCGTCTGCGGCAATGGTAGAATTCTGGAGGGCAGTCTAGTGACCTTCCTGCCCAACAAATCCCTCAGTGATTGGTCTTCATTCCAAAACCCATGGGCCCGCTCCTACTCCAAGTATTCCAAGTCATTCTGGGAGAAAGATCCGAATGGGACGAAGATTTGTAACCAGGTACGCCAGCAGTCTCCCTTTCATCAGTGGTTCCCACTTCTGAATCTCATCGATGTACATATCTTCGACTTTCTCACCGGTTTGTCTGTCCTTCTTTCATCCAATTTCAAACATTTATTTAATTTTTAAAGCCTTTTTTTATTTCAGAAAATAATTTTCAATGGTTATTATGCTCTTTGAGTTGTTAGTTCGGTGGAAAAAAATGCTTTCACTGGCGTTAATATTTTCATTAATTTATTTCATTATAAGGACTGTTTAATCTGTTTCTCTAATTAAACTTCAAATTCAAAGAGTTAACAACAATACTTTTTACGTCTGTAAAAGTATTAGGAGAATTTTTTACCGAATTTTTAATTATAGCCCATCAAAACTTAGCACATTACTCACAGTACATAACTTGCCTAGTTAACACACTCACATTCATTCGAGGAAAATACCTGAATGAAGCCACTTATACCCGCTGTATTAACACGTACCAGGCAACAAAGACAGACATCACATTCACTTTTTCGAAATGTTTGGAAACGTGTCTCAGTACATTCTGATCGACAACGGAAAGGGGTATGTAGGTTTTCCGATGTTGGTTGGATGATTGATTTACTGATTGGTTGGTTAGTTGGTTAGTTAGTTGATTGGTTGATTGGTTAGTCGAGTGATTATTGGTTGTTTG